CTCAATAATCATGAATGCGGTATGATAACTTTTAATTGCATGGTATTATGAAATTTATCGCCTGTAAACAAACTAAGCGAATCTAAGAAAATGAGTTAGAGAGTGGAATAATTATTCTGATATACCGGGTGAGAAGCAAGAACCATTGTACGTTGTAGTGTAATTTATGACAATAGTCAATAAACATATCAACTATGCCATAAAATCTTCAATATAGGTACAGTCTTCTAAGTATAGTAGAAGTAATGGTGAGTAGATTTATTAGGGCTGTATTATCCATAGTTTAGTAGATAGGGAAAGAATATAACTTTTAAAACGATTATTTTATAAATGTAAGTGTTCTATCTCTAAGAAAATTTAAACACAAACAGCCTACTAGTTAAATTAAGCTTTTCTTTTCATGCTTTTCATTGTTACTTTCTATAAAACTGAGAAAGTTACGAACAGGCCAATAGGTTTTCATCACGCATTCTTTTATGGATAATATAAACAAAATATTAGTATTATAAATACACTTACCATTGTACTAGGCTCGGGGTACTTAAGATAAATATAATACTGTAAGTAAATATTCTGTATGTCGTCATTCTGAAAAAAAATAAAATCAAAGTCTCGATTTCCAAATTCCACATTCACATAAAGGTAAGTATTTTGACGATAACCTTCCTTATAATTATTAAGTATATTATACGGAAAAAGAATTAAACTTGATCGATAAAACAGACACAGAAATATGGCAGAATCATGACCACATACCATTTGCGTTAGATACTTAACTTCTTTTACATTTAATTCCATAGAACATTTCATACTGTTTGAGAATTTTATTGAAAGTATTTTTACCTCGTAATAGAAATACATACACGGTAATATACTATTTCAATATAGCACTATAGAGTTGTGAATGAGCCATTAAGTATCTATTGAATTTATGTTTACTATCTCAATATATTGAGCCAACGTCCTTGTGTCCATCTGACTCACTGAATAAATAATATAGCTAGTGCGTCGGCGGAACAGCCTTTTTTCCTAATAAGGTTTGTACTTGACAATTTGTCAATATTATGAGCTCATTTCTCAAGCAATGAAAGCTATGGGAAACAATGTATCGTTCGTGTTACGTACTTTCTCCGCACTTACGACTTCACGAATGTAAGGTACATAATTAACCTTCAAATTCTTAATAAATGTAAATCACATAAATACAATACGGAATTGTTTCTTGTAATTGTTTTCGTATTGTCCTTGTTACCTTCGCATATTTACGTTAATTTATAACTTAAACTATTATTATATAAGCTAAGTAAACAAAAGCAATAACTTACTTGAAATATCCATTAAGTTAAACACACGATTTTACACTTAAAATAATATCACAGATAGTTTCGTACACATATTTTTTACGTAAAGCAGTGAGGTTCTTAGTAATATCGCGGAGTGACTGCGCACGGTAAAGGCGCCTACGCATGGTGGGGAGCCGAGAAGCCTTGCGAAAACCATCACATTATGCACCTCCAATATGAGGAAACTCTGCCCACGCTAGATTGAGCAGTATTTCCTGTACTTCATTTAAACGTGGATGTTTATCTCAAAAAAATTAAATGGTATGTGAATTGTGAACATTTTACATACAATTAATTTTTGTGCGAACACTTAGAAAACACAAATTGTATCGTAAGTACAAGCGAGCGAGCCTCTAAAAACTTCAATATAATATATAAATTGTAAGTATCAAAGTTTTTAATTTCATGATACTTTTTTAAAGTTACGCGACCTTAAAATACAATATTTTTATACGTCTTAAAAAAAGCATTGCGTCTTGCTTTAGATCACTTACAACCATATAAGGACTAGTTTCAAAGAAATTATTCTATTTCTGTAAAACAATTGTAATGTTGAAACTTACAGTTAAATCTTATCACTCTAGCCATCAATAGCCAGGTTGAATTATACGACGCGTTGCATTCCTTCAAACTTGTTTGAGTAAGTAGTACAATGGATGCATGCTCTACCAGTACTCGTGAATCGCCGTTGAATAGGCTTCTTGGAGATTATTTCGCAAAACATAAAACCATAACTTAATAATTATGCATTCCATCATACAGTAGGCCAGTAGGTTTCATTTTTGTAGATACTTACAAATTATTTGGCGTCAGAAATGTGTATCTTGTACATATTTCAATTATGTAGCATTTGTTTCGTTTTCAAGCCAATTCGATTTTGTAAATTTTCGATATAATAATAAAAATTATTTAGGTGCTTCTCATAATAAGCACAGAAGGCAGAAATTAAATAAATGACGACACAGATACAGAAATCGGAGGCCAAGACCTAGAGGTTTATTAAGCTCTTGGTCCAGTTCGAAGTGCGTACAAAATCGATTATAAAGTCTGAATATTATGCAAGAACTAATGATAATTCTTGATGACTTTGTGCACAAGTTAGGATGACCTTTAAAACTTGAGAATCCAAATTTGGAAACCTGTTTGTGCACTAGGTATAATCCTACCACATTTTAAGTTTGCACAATTCTGTTAACTTTTATATAGTACTTTCGAATATTCTACTATTTCGATTTTTTACATTTACTATATGATGATTATTGACTACTTATTGAATGGTACAATAATTGGTATATACATATAAATATTATGCAATGATGATAAAACATTTCAGTTATTATAGTTATATTTCAAGAATACTTACAAGTATTAAACAGTTTTTAATTACCACACTAGTTACATAAAACGCTTTAAAAATTAGAACATGCCATCACCAAGCTTGGTGATTATATTATTATATATATAAAAAAACATTTTTGCCTGATTAAAAAGCATTATAGATGTATATATATATATATAATGCTTTTTAATCAGGCAAAAATGTTTTTATTTAAACAATATTCATTTACTCAATTGTCTTTATGAATCCCATATATTAGTCATTTTAAATTTATATTTAATTTATAAACTTTTTTAACACTAATTTATATCATTAATCAGGGTAACAGTTTTGAATACCATCGCACTTTTTTGACGATACTAATTATTTAGGAGTCTCGGAGGACCTTCATTGGAACACCTCCAAGTGAGTTTTGCTCCGGAAACGCGTCAAAAATTTTATAAAGATTTATAAAGTAAACTTTGCACTGTAAAACTAATTACCGCTAGTCTAGCATAAACCACATTCAAAATGGCCGATTAAGTTTATAAAATTAATAGGGATGTGAAAAATAATCGATTTTTTTAAAAGTGAAAATCGATTTTTGTATTCGATTTTAATATTAAAAATAATTGAAAATTCGGCGACCAAATATTCATATACTAACTCTAACTTAACCAATCTAAATAATATTTGTTTTTGTGGACAGCTCCGATCTAAATAGTAATTGTTTATTCAAGCCTCGGCTTCTCGGCGTCCTGGTCGCCTTCGGCGACCAAATATTCATATACTAACTCTAACCTAACCAATCTAAATAATATTTTTTTTTTGTGGACAGCTCCGATCTAAATAGTAATTGTTTATTCAAGCCTCGGCTTCTCGGCGTCCTGGTCGCCTTCGGCGACCAAATATTCATATACTAACTCTAACCTAACCAATCTAAATAATATTTTTTTTTGTGGACAGCTCCGATCTAAATAGTAATTGTTTATTCAAGCCTCGGCTTCTCGGCGTCCTGGTCGCCTTCGGCGACCAAATATTCATATACTAACTCTAACCTAACCAATCTAAATAATATTTGTTTTTGTGGACAGCTCCGATCTAAATAGTAATTGTTTATTCAAGCCTTGGCTTCTCGGCGTCCTGGTCGCCTTCGGCGACCAAATATTCATATACTAACTCTAACCTAACCAATCTAAATAATATTTTTTTTTGTGGACAGCTCCGATCTAAATAGTAATTGTTTATTCAAGCCTCGGCTTCTCGGCGTCCTGGTCGCCTTCGGCGACCAAATATTCATATACTAACTCTAACCTAACCAATCTAAATAATATTTGTTTTTGTGGACAGCTCCGATCTAAATAGTAATTGTTTATTCAAGCCTTGGCTTCTCGGCGTCCTGGTCGCCTTCGGCGACCAAATATTCATATACTAACTCTAACCTAACCAATCTAAATAATATTTTTTTTGTGGACAGCTCCGATCTAAATAGTAATTGTTTATTCAAGCCTCGGCTTCTCGGCGTCCTGGTCGCCTTCGGCGACCAAATATTCATATACTAACTCTAACCTAACCAATCTAAATAATATTTGTTTTTGTGGACAGCTCCGGCGCTACGGGAAATGCAGCCCCTCCACCCTTGCGTACCAAAGCACAGGCATTATGAAAGCTGTAGCGGCTGAGGCTGGTCGCCGAAGGCGACCAAAAAGCCGAGGTTGCGGAGGCTTGAATATTGTTACAGCGGGTGGGGGCTGCTCTTCCTCCGCGCCTCCGATTATTTATATACACTCTAGGGGTAAGACAGACAAGACCACGTGGATAGTGGGGTGCTCTGATTCGGTTTTGGGTACTTTTTGGATATTAAAGTAAACACTTTATTCTAGTAAAAATTAAATAATATAGAAAGTTGCAAACAATGAAATACAAGTACTAATTAGAAAATACAGACGAGTAGGTATCGATAATTTCAAAAAATTTCGGAACCCTATAATCTATCAACACGAAATTAGGTTAATTTCAATGTTGATTATTCTATAACTTTAAATTTCAAAAATGAGGAAATAATCCATAAATAAATAAAACGATTATTAACAATCGATAAATTAAAAACACGATTTTTTTAAGTGAACGTCACATCACTTATAACCAATAGAAAAGTAGAAAATGGCGGATTGTTTACAAATTTTAATACATTACACAAAACTTTAAATTTTTTATAAAAATATTTAGACGCGTTTCCGGAGCAAAACTCACTTGGAGGTGTTCCAATGAAGGTCCCCCGGACACTCCTAGATAATTAGTATCGTCAAAAAAGTGCGGTGGTATTTAACACCCAACCCTTAATCAGCAAGAAACGAATCAATCGGGCATATATTTGTTGAAGTTGTTTCCGTTTCCTCTATAATTTTAGGTGAAACTCCAATATTATCTTGACGATGTACTTCCGCGGCCAAAACCGCGTTATCAGCTGTCGCTGTAGCTAAAGCTTTCTCTAAACGTGTTGTTGTGTTCCTTTCTGCTTCTAAAGCAGCTTTAGTCTCCAGTAATATATCTTGATCGGAAAACTCTAAAGTCTTTGTAGATTTTTCTTGTAAATCTTGAACTTTGCTTTCAAGATCAGTTACAAGCAACTTCAGGCGCGTAACTTCACCTATAAGAAATGTTTGTATTTTAGGCTATGTTCACATGTAACGCGCGTTAACGCGCGTCAACGCGCGATCAAATTTGAAGAGAGTTCAGATGATGAGCGCTAATGCGCGTTGCGAGAGTACTCGTCAGTCTAGTTCGGTAGAACGTAGAAAAGGGACGTGGAAGAGGCTATTATTTTGTGGTTATATTATAAAGAAAAATATAGAAAAAGAAAACGTACACATTGGGTTCATCCAATTTTGAAAAATAGACCCAGTTTGTTATAAATATAATTACGAAAATAAACAAAATTACATGCGATCGCGATGAAAGCGCGCGCTCAACTGAAAAGCATACGGACTAGTGTTGGACCCAACATGAGGCACCTCAAAATATGTCCATCAAAGTTGTCAAATGTCGCATCACCTCAAACACACATTTTGTACCGCTTCAAACTCGTTGAGGTATTTCAAACGCGGGCTAGGCGTGAATGTATTGAGGCGGTGAGTCGTATGTCATGAATGAGTTGAGATGAATTTTTTGTCTTATTCTCCCTCCCAAGTAGGACAATGACAATAGTTAAAATCGTGTCTGATGAGCAACTGATTAAATGATATTTTGAAGTGACGGTGACTGTTCACTGTGACATATTATTGTAATTGGTTTTTGTTTGCATAAATAACTTGACTTTTTGAAGTTATACTTCTTTAGGCGGTTATGAAAAATTGATGAGAGTGAAATTTTACAGCCGACCGTTACAAAAATTAACAGAATGAAGTTGCCCACGGATGCAACGCATTGACATAATTTAAAAACAACATTCGAATAATAGAATTTATGTTACACTTAATGTAAGAGAATAATCATAAATATTTAATTTTTTAAATGTAAACTGAACTTTATTGACTATAATGACTCCTTTTCCAGTCTTTGATTGTAATTAATTATTTGCATGCAATCAAAAACTATTTTAAATATGCCAAGAAGTATAACCTCTTACGCGCGTAAAAGTACAGCACCCTTTTTATTTATTTTTTTATGGTCGGACCTGCGCCATAGAGACAATGGATTCGTACATAAAGGACTAACAGTACAGAACAGAATCCTCAATGAAGTGGTACATGTATTAACTCATTTTATAAAATGAGTGGACATACAAACACTTCAATTTCTGTCCTACCCATCACTAATACGGACATTACATTAATATCAAAGCGCGCGTCAACGCGCGATCACCTGCGTCTAGAGACTTTTTCTCTGAGCGCCGCGTTGACGCGCGTTAACGCGCGCTCATGTGAACAGATGTATGTAAATACCACAATATCTAGTCGCGCGATTTGAAAACGCGCGTCAAGTTTTTGCCATCTGAACATAGCCTTAAAGTTAAATTTCAGTTTTCTTTTATTTTTTTTTATCTTTTTGCCTATTAATGTACTTACTTATGTTTTCTGTTTAATATATGTTGTTTATCTATGTAATCTGTTTCATATTTGTATATTGTCTAAGTGTTGTTTTATAATATGTATGTTAGCTGTAAGATTACCAATAAATAAATAAACTTTCGTATTGTATTTCGTATTGTATTGGATTTTTTGTTTGTTCCTGGAACTCAGGAAGTTAGGTTAGTTTTAAAACTGGTTTAGAAAGACAAGCAATGGCAGATACATTGTTTTACTGATATTAGGTATCGATTTTTGTTTGTACCAAGATGGTAGTTTTAACTAGTTGGTGACTTGCTTTAATTGGTAAAAATATTTTTTCTCTAAGAAATGAGATTGAGTGGTATGTTTTGAAAACAAATAAATGTGTTTAGGAATATATGGCACGAAAAAATAAAATACCTTTAGCACTTTGTAGTTCCCGTGTAGTATCATGCAATTCATCAGCTGCTAATCGCCTTTCCCTGGCGTGAGCGGCGGCCGCTAATCTTGCTCGCTCACGAAGCTCCGTCCCTGCGCTAGCGCATTTCTCGACACGGCGAAGTTCATTTTCTAAGCGCGTTGCTTCACTAAATAAAATAATGGTTACCTGAACCACTTATTTCCAAAAAATATTAAACCTCAACTTTACAAAGTAACTAAAATCCAAATAAAGTTGTAAACATCTCTACTAATAATAAAAAAGAAAGTGTTCACCTCATAACGAACTAGTTGAACTAAAATATCCTACTATTACTACGTCTACTGAAATATACTCGAATATGCCAACACCCCACTAGAGTCTTGAATTCAATTGTTTTACAAACCCCAGCGCGACAAATAGATATGAGTATTCTTTAGAGAAATCAAACTTATTTTATCTTGACTGTTATTTACTCCGTCGTTTATTGAATTTGGTGACAAAAAGTAAATATTATACAACAATACGAATCTTAAATCGAATTGGCATGATATGGCTATAATGCTCACAATAGAGTATAGAGATAATCTGTGGCATTGTCGGTGCCATAAATCATTACTGCGCTTTATATTTTAAAACAAAAGACTGCAAGAGTGGGTGGACATTTATGATTATTATTTACAGAAACCCATATAAAATATTTTTCAAGTCTAATATAAAGAAACCTTCGAGCACTATCTGTTGAAGATTGAACACGCTCCTGCAATTCAATGAACTGTTTCTGTAATTCTGTATACATCGTTTTAAGATGTTTAAATTCTTGCACTTCCTTCTCAAGTACGGCTATGTGTTCGCTCAATTCTGAACATTTTTCTTCGAAGAGCGACCGTTGGCGTTCCTACACAATTATATTGCTTTTAAAATGCATGTTAATGCTTTCCGCGTTATACTAACTTAGGTATCATACACATAAGTCATTTTATATAAATACTTTTAGCTGCAATTATATAGTTTGTTTCGTTGAGCATTTTTCAACTTTATTGTCCGCTGGGAGTCGAAACCAGGTCGATGTGCGTTAGCCGTTTAGTCTCGGAGAATATTTTATTACTAGCTGATCCGGCAAACGTCGTTTTGCCATGTTTATCATTTATAATAAAAAATAGGGGTTGATCGTAGAGGGGTGAAAATTAGGGGTTGTATGTATTTTTTAATGCTGTATCATAAAAAAATAAAAATAAAAAAATTTATCTAAAAATTAAACAAAAAAAATTAGGGGTGCACCACCCTTAACATTTAGGGGGATGATAAATAGATGTTATCCAATTCTCAGTTATACCCAATATCCACACAAAATTTCATGAGAATCGGTCAAGCCGTTTCGGAGGAGTTTAACCACAAACACCGCGACATGGAATTTTATATATTAGATATATATATATATATATATATATGAATAATTTTTGTAATAAAAGTTATTACTTTTGTAACAATAACTATAATTTCCCTCCCTTCCTAAAGGATATTGGCAATAAACTTTTGATATCAAGGTAATTTTTGATGAATAACAGGGTTATAATTTTAAACATGAATTTATTTGTTTTACATGTATATAAATAAACATTATTGTTTTACCACAAGGGTAATGATTTATGTACATACGAGTTATGTTTTACTAATCACTCGCTAACAAAGATGAATATAATTATCTATAATCTAGGCAATTGGGTTTTTGAAAATATAAAAATATTGATTTTTTTATAGTATTTTAAAACTTTATTGTTAATAATATTGATGTTTAATGCGAAAAACTGAAAAAAAATTTTTTCAATGAATTATAAACAATTAAAAATTGATGAAATTTCAATAAAAATCACGTGACTATAAACGCGCCATGAATGATTGATCACCATGTTGTGACGTCATAATGTTAAAGCAATTAAACAGTACAGCGTTTACGGCTATTAATATTATAGTATATTTAATATAATAAATAATGTGGCTGCAGTGTCCACCTATACACCGGATAGTTGAGCATATGTATAATGACTTATCATTTCAGAGTACCAAAAGGTCAAAACTCCATATATTAAATATTAATATTAATTAAATAGATCAAAACACTGTATTTATTATTTTTCTATCAACTGCAATGAGTGAAAACTAACATTATGACGTCACACGCGCTCGGGTTTGTTTGGCGTGTTTTCGGTACTGGATTCAAAAATTATTTATTATTTTGAAATAACTTTTGAATTATTGCGAAAAAAATAGTTTTGTTATAAAACTTATATATTATGATCTTTCCCTTTATCACAAAAAAATTTTTCTTCAAAAACCCATAGTTTCCCCTTTTAAATCTTGTACTGCGCAGTTATTCTTGGCCATAGAAGTAAAAACTAAAACCGTCACATGATTATAAGAAGAACAAAATATAAAGATTCACTCCACAATATGTACGGTGTTGCAAATTAATCATAACAATATATATACTTACAGCTAAGTCCAACTGAATTTTCGTATTAGTAAGGTCATTTTGTACATCAGAAAGAGCTTTAGCAGCTTCCTTGGCCCCAGCAGTAGCACCGGCTGTAGCTGCTCGGTGATCTTCAGCTGTTTTTACTGCGTCATCGCGAGCTGCTTCCGCCGCTTCAGCTCGCGTGGCTTCAGTGCGAACAGCTTCTTTTAAGCGAGATTCTGATATCTAACAACCAGTATGAATTATGGTAATTGCGGGAATGCGGCGAATGAGGTATTTAAATTTATATTATGTAAATTACTACAAATTTAATTTAATTACATTAATAACTATTTTATAAAAAAAAAATATTTACCCGCCTGTCTGGTTTACTATCTGTACTTACATATAACAGTTGAAACTCGCCAACTAAATCTATAAATTGTTTTTCGAATGTGTCGACGTCCACACTCATTTTATTTTGACAGTTATTAATTACACTAAATACAACAAACGACAAAAAGTAAAAAGTATACAACAATACGAATCATAAAGAGAAATGGCGCCATTTGAGAGTGTTTTTTTTTAATTGACCATAGTGTGTGCTAACTATAGAGTAAACGCTTAGTCTGTGACACTACCGGTGCCATAAGCCATTACCTTGCTTTATTTTTTAAAACAAAAGACTGCTGGAGTGGGCGAAACAAAGAACTAAAGTTTATTACGAGAAAGTCTAATTTTAATATTATTGACAGAAATAACATCAAAGAAAATAATTATATAACAATCAACGCAGTATTCTGTCTGAAGTATACAAATTGATCTCTTGGAAAATTATTTGCTTTAAATTCCACTTTTATACTAAGCTGATAAATTGTAATATTATCATATTTGAAATGTGTCAATTATTATAACGCCTACTTGATAAGAGCAAGCAATGAGGGGAATATTAAAAAAGGGGAGAATATTATTCTAATAACGGGCGGAGTGTATAAAAATGGCGGGAAAAATCTCTCTGCCGCATTTTACCACAGACCTGCGGTTGAACGGGTGAGTTATAAATTAGTTTCATGATTTATATTTTATTTTTGTTATGGATTACGTACTTACGACGCTTAAGAACGCCATTTAAATTTGTATGTAAATAATTAAATAATAAACCCTTTACAAAATTTAAAACATCGAAAACAATTTATTGCTTATATTTTAGTAAGTAATACTCAATTTACTGTTTGCTTTTCGCGTAATTATTTTTGTCATTCCTTTTGTTACAGTGAACGAAGATGCGTTTAATTACCGTGTTAGCGTTGGTGTTAACTGTGTCTCTGACTATAACATTGCAATGTTGTGTGGGGGCGAGCCTCAGAGGTCTTCAACTAGGTGAAGAGGAGGAAGAACTTGGCCCTCGTCATATTTATCGCAATTACGGCCTTAGGAGTCAATATGATGCCTTTGATGACTACGGACACCTTAGATTTGGACGCTCTGACGACTGACATCAACACCGATTAAAAATAAATTTCGCGCGGTTCTAAGCTAATTTCAATGCATCTCGTGTAAAAATGAATTATCTATGGCTGGTATGATATTTCATTATATTATTGTAATAAATACGCAAATGTTTGCCGTAAGTTTTATTTTAAATTATACTTATGAATAAGCTACTACCGCTCCAGATTGCTTAATTCTATAATTGTGAATATTATAACAATGAATCAAATATATTATCAGAAAATTTTAGTTGCATTTTGTAAATTAATAGCAGTACTATTAAAATATGATTTTAATAATGAAACATATTATCTAATCTAAAGTTTAAAAGAAATAAAATCGTTTACCATACCGTTTTTATTTTCTTGGTCTCTGGTATAACAATATACAGCTAAATTAAAATTAAAGATAAATGCTAACTTCATAAGATAAGACAGTAGTTGAAGTCTGTCATAGGAAGAAAAAGCGCGGGAAACATATTTAAAAAAAAACAATATCTGATACATTAAATTGTTTTATTCTTTACCAATAAATACATTTTACAACATTCATTAATCTAGTGTTAAATTTACCATACACTGAGACTTGTGCTGAATTAATTACATTTTAATTGGTATTTTCTGTTTACCGATTTGTCAGGGGCCCTAGACAAAGACACTTGTGAAAGACGTGTAACTCTCATCACGCGAACTGTTATAGAAATGGTCACGTGACTACGAATTTAAATCATACTTCGCCAAGTTCAATCCTATACAGTTATATATTGCGGTAGAGGTACACGCCTGTCACAAATAATTTAGTTCAGCGCCGGAGGCAATAGTAATGGTTTCTTTAGTAACTAGTAGTAATTTACTATGGACAAAATACTAAACTATATCAATTAATCAATTTAACAGTACACAAATGCTAGAAGATACTAGTATTTTTCGTTGTTCATTATGTAAATAAAATATATGATAATAAAATAAATACATGTAAATACTAGTGCGCTTGCCAAACTATATATTTTATATAAATGCTATTAATTTGGATGAAAGCTACATAACGAATTAGGCACATGTTATCACTACTATCTATGTTAACATTAATGAGACTAGTTAGTTTTTTAACCTAATGTTTAATACCTACCTACGGTATATTTATTTCATAGTTATAATTGTACTTGGTGAATATCAAGCGTATAAATTAAATCTTTGATAACATAAAATATATCCACATACCAAATTAATAAAATAATAACACTGGAATATTTATTAAAAATTAATATTTCGATTGATGGCTTGTGTTTGACACAAAGAGTGTACGAAAAGCACGTTACTTCTACAGATCGTTCTTGTAGTTTTATATGATGTCTCGCTTCTGTGTGTTTCCTAATAGTGCCTGGAAAATAAATTATAATAATTGTGATTAAAACTAATTACATACTATCTAAGACAAGGGTAGCATGTTAAGTATGTTTTTGCAAAATACTAACTGCCTCGTATTGAGCACACAATTCGCTTGCCTTAAAAAAATCTATGAAATATACCCTTGGAACTTCAAACAACGTATTATCTTGTAAGATCTCTTGTAGGCATGGAGACGGCTAAGACGATTAACATATAAATATAAATAACATATGAATAAATATACTTTTTTATATAGAACGGGAGCAATCGGGCAGGAAGCTCATCTGATGTTAAGTTATACCGCCGCCCACCCCGACCCTAAGTCGAAAAAGGTGCGTAAATACATCAGCGGGCAGCTGTTTCCACATAGTGATGGTGCGTGGCAAAAACTGCTTTAAAAATGCCCAGTTGTGGAACGACGGACGTCGTGGTGATACGGGTGGTATTTTGCATACTGCCTCGACGTCGAATGATGTAACTCCGTTTTAGGGATCGGATGTTTTGCCGTCTTCCAGCACTTCAGGATAGTGAAGCGAATACAGGTACCGAAAAAGGCGCGTTAGGACCGGAGCCAACTCAGGAGAACAAATACGCAGCACAATTGGGGGGATGCCATCAGACCCGCTCGACTTATGAATTTCCAAGGAAGATAGAGTTTTGCAGATAACTACTAATGATGTGTGATTATAACTTGTATGTCGTATGCCTTTTACGATATTTCAACAAAGAATGTTTAAGTCATGTAATACAGCGCCATCTCACTAATACATTGCAAAACTCGGTGAACTTTGTACTTTATGAAGTTTAAGATATTTTCTATTAGAGATTATTTTTCCCAACTGTTATAAATAAATTACAAAATTATAAATACTGTTTACCTTATTAACAAAGTTAACGATTGCAGTTGCTGGCTGTTCAGGTTCGAGTTCAGCGAAAACATGACACTGGTTGTCAGAGCCTGATGTAGAACGAGCGACAAACGCGAATATGCGCCTATAATTAAACAAATATACGTTAAATAATTATTATATTAGTTTGTTTTAACATTTATATTCTAATTTATTATAATTTAATCTCAAAATCATTATAAGTTGGTAGTCTAACAATGTCATATAGCATTACTTTTTATTTATATTGATAGCATAACAATTCTTGTTAAACTCTACAAGATGGCGTTTATACCATCTTTAGGAATATAAACAGTAATTTACTTAAAAAAATAAAATATTTTATTGGGTAAGGAAGTAAAGTTACTTGAAACAACACTATTTAAAAAAAATTAAAAGACAAACGTACTTTTCACCCTGTTTCCCATTATCAACGTAGAGGTATCGCCGTTCGTCAGGGTCAATGCCTGCGTAGGAAACAGCGTTAGATGGATAGTGTCGTCTGAAGAATAGCTTTCTGGTCGAATCAGTCAGTGTGATGCCACCGCCAAATACTTTGAAATGAACAACGTGCGCCGCGACCTGAAAAGGTAATGTAAATATTTACTGAACAGACTCTTCTTAATCTAATGTATGGTGACATAAAATTGTTGAAAAAACATTGGCGCATGTGTTTATTTTTTCCACACCAAATTGATTGGATTTTACAGGTCACGCTTATTGGAAAATACTTTCGTCTAGATCTTTTTGACGGAGTAAATACATTTATCACTATCAATATTTAAATTTTTACTTTATTTATCTGTGTAAGAAAAAATTACATAAAATTAACGTTATGTCTTTGTTGCTATTGGTGACAATTATTATGTTTAAAATTTTTCGAAAGCGTACCTTCTTCTGCAAAATGTTCTGTACAGCTCGCTTAACAGCTGCTGGTCCAGTCAAAGCCTCCGTATTCTCAGAGCCGAGTAGTAAGACGTTGCAAGCTGCGCCTGTAGCCAGTAATGCACGCGCCGCTGCATTAGCACTGCCGCCAGTCCACAGGTCTCTATAAATTATTGTTTACCAATATTATTTAATGATAAATATTTTTAGGGGCTTGCGCAAACGAGCCCGCGGGTCGACCATAGAAGGCAACTACCGCAACCCATGGACACTAACACTTGTTGCCGTCCATTATTTTATTTCTTGTATAATATCTTTATTTTCGCGAGTGTCGTACGTTAATCAATACGTTAAGGATTACTTTATTATTGTCAATTCAATTAAAAAACCCATTTTTTTTTAAATAATCGAAATCCTTTATAAAGAAATATTTCATCTGTTGTTTAGCTAATAATAAATTAAAGTAATCTAAGTTTTAAAAGCTTTAGCAAGTATATTATTCATCTTAATATATATAAATTACGTGTCACGTTGTTTGTCCGCAATGGACTCCTAAACTACCGAACCGATATCAATCAAATTTGCACACCGTGTGTAGTTTGATCCAACTTAAAAGATAGGATAGCTTACATCTCAATTTATACCCGCAATGTAATTTTATTGCAAATTATTTGTTTATTATTTGACACAATTCTAACAGATGGCGCTGTGTTGAAAGTACCAACGTTTCACATAAGCTACAATTTAATGGCATAGCTACCAAAAAAGCATGGTGATCCCCATGACTGTTGTTTTCCTGCCGTTCCCTTTGAATAGTTTACTACTATGTAATATAACAAAAACCTTAGCCACAGCAACGCTTGGCCGAGTCTGCTAGTAGTATTATAATAAAACTTACCTATCAGGCAGCTTCAAAGCAGCGGGCAAGGCCAGGGGAGTGACAGTATGTTGATACACCAGGGCTGATAACGAGCTAAATACGGGTTCATCTGGGCACCCCCGAAGGCGAACACCTCTCGCAGTCGGTTCTATGAGGAAATGTCGTACGCCTCCACTTGCACGTACAGCGAGCCCGAACGCGCCCGGGAATGAGTTCGAATCGCGAACTATGAACGCCCCCTCTTCTTGCTGAAGAAGGGCTGATACCGCTATTGACAAATGAATTATTATAACCGATTGCTACAACATTATTTGAATTGGTATACAAATTGTCAGTATGTGTAGACCCTGGACCGGTTTTGATTAAATTTTATGTACAGCAATTTAGGTTACTGAATAGTTTTAAATCAGAGTTGGCCCAAAAATTGTACGATGTTAAATCGAAATTTTAAACCAATTTGACCATGTAACATCAGACCTAAATAAATAGTAATAAACCTCGGGGAAGTAGGTTTTTTTCTATTATTATAGATATTAATTATTATATGAAAAAGATTTACCAGCTTTAATAGAAGATATAGATGGGCTGTTTGTTTTAAATACGCTGTATTAAAACCAAATTTGAATTTATTAAATTAATTTTACTAACCATCATCCCGGGAAATATTGGGCTTGTACCAATATTGGCTGGTGTCTCTTGCGAACCTTACTCTATCGGGGGCTACGTGTTGCAATTCTGATCCACTGATACTGGATCGTCTTGATCCATTACTACCATTGTAAGTGCGGTATTCGGACTCGGGGCTGCCTTCACGGTCTTTTCTGTATAAACGACTCAAATCATATTAATTGGCTTAATTTTTGGGTTTTTTTTTATTTACAAAAACTTGCCAACGCTCGGAATACTGACACATTGGTACGTATAGAAAAATAATAGCACTTATAGGCAAACATGAAACACAAAGAGAAAAAAAATACATCGATTCATAAATTATAAAAACTAATGGAAAATTGATTTCAAATTGTGAAGGGAACAACTATAGATATCCAGACCTATCTCGTATATCAGAAAACTCAATCGGGATATCGGTCGATAATCTGGAGTCGGTGGTTTATATGGTAGGTTCTGTCTGACTGTTAAAGTCGCGGTCTTTGATCGCACATATGCGATTTTCGCTGGCCGAACAAAACCTACATTTAAACCTGTAAAGAACTATATAGCCAGGCATACCTTACAGACGGTGGGGAGCGTGGCGGTCTCGCTGAGAGTGAAGGGGTCGGTGTGGGTGGGTAAGGAGTTCGGGGATGGGTGGGAAAGGCCGGCGTTCCCGCGCGGGACTCTGTGCGGGATTCCGCCCGGGACAAGCTCTCTGAACGTTCGCGGCTCTGAAAAATATTGTACAATAAGTTTAAAATATTAGAACCTTATTTTATAACGATTCTTTATTTTTAAAGTAACAAAGCAATAAAAACTAGTTACATAGTTTTATCTTTAACAAATATAACTCGACCTTGAATCCTCATTTTACTGTATGATACTCGCGTAAACCAATGATAATATAAGTTAAGTAAAAAAACCAATTGCGCTACAAATTTCTAGGTCTGGGCCGCAGATTTCAGTATCTGTTTCCGCGATTCTTTATTCTAATAGAGAAGTAGGTGATCAGCCTTTTGCGCCTGACACACATCGCCGACAATTTTCTAAAGCATGTCGGTCTCCTCACGAAGTTTTCTGTCACCGTACCAGCAAGTGTTAAATGCGCACATAGGCTGAAAGCGCATTGGTGCCGCCGCTGAGGATCGACCTCAGAGATTAGAATCGCACGCTGAAACTAAGCCAACACTCCTCGAAGAAAGTGAGCATAGTTTTGTTAATACTGAAGAGGTTTTATTGAACAAGCAGCATGTAATCTAAGCATATAGAAACCATAATTTAAGTTCTTACCATGGTATCATTGTTAGCGGGTGCGAGTGATAGCAGACCGGGCGTGGTTGGTGTACTACTGCCGCTCCACTCACGTAATGTCATCTTCTCGTACATAAACTTTCTAGATGAAGTCCTGAAATCCATCGATTCAAAACTTACATTCGATCTCTCGCCGACCCACTGAGTTTAACGTATATATCACGATATAAGATTTTATGTTTATTAATAATTTTGTCGCAAAGTGCTAATAAGCTATACAGGTAGTAACAGCGCCGAAACTAATAGTGTCTATTTCTACCAAACTGCTTGTTAAAAACACAGTCATCGCATTCCATTTGCGATAACCTCATTAACAAACACTACACCTAACATTAACATAAATAGATTTTAAACAATATTTTTTACGATTTTAGAATGGAATGATTTAAGCCAAACAAAGTGCTTTTGGAGGCTTTTATTCAGTGTCCTACCTGTCAGGGGCTTGTGGGCTGATGCTATCAGTTCTGTGAATGGTGCGCGTGTTGACATGTAGAGGGACGCTGAAGTCATCATCGTCGTCGGCGAATGCTGTTGTGTCACTCGTGTATCCGTCAACACTGCAAATTTAAAATTTTCTATTTATTTTAATTAAGGATTAATATTGATAGTAAAGCAAAGCACAAGAAATCATAAGTTCACGACCGAGGTTTAAAATGAGACATGCCAAAAACTCTTGTATTGCTAATTAATAAAATATTTTTAACCGTAATAAATGAAATAAGTATTCTTAAAAGTATGTTACTAAACAACCCGATATTTATGTAAACTGGGGGTTATTCCTTAATGAAACTACAGCAAGTAAGGTATAAAAATAAATTACCGATGGCTTGCAGATCGGCGTACATGCAATCTTGAAGGTGCATCCCATTCGAGCGGCAATCTTGCAACCCTTTCCCTTGCCTCCTTCCTCTCCCTTAGCTTCTGCTGTTGCCTTTGTAGCCAAGTGAGGCCTGAGTTCCCTTCTATACCGCTTTCTGACCGTCTCGGCTCCCGACTCCTTGTTGTTTCATGCCAACCAATTGTGCTTGTGGATCTCCAGGTGTCATTGTCAACCTTTCGACCATTGGATTTGTTTTCTATCCATTCGGCATCTTGGGTTAACTTACGAGTGCTATTTGATTGGTTTATCCATTCTGAGTCACCATTTGTCCACCTGAAAGAGTGGAAAAGAGCTGTTAAAGGACGCACTGGCTTTTATATACTAATAACGTACACCAAAAAGTTTATAAGTGGCCTGGTACATTGATCAACATTTGACAAGGTCTAAAGAATGACTTTATACAATTATTAAAATATGATTATGGAGAGAAAAGAGCTAAACTACTTCGATTTGGTAATAAAATAAAGTTCCCAAGAACCTTGCTCGTCTTAATGATTTACATGGGACGTAATTAAAATCACACAGAACATATGTTATGCAATATGCTACCCAGATATAATATAAGCTTGCGGTACGACAGTGGTCCTTTTATGGCGACGATTAACTCGAAATAGCAACTTGTTTGGGTCAGCGATCGCAATCACTAGCCATCGATCCAAACAGACCAAATTGTCAGACAGGTCCTCTAACGATGTCATATACTTGTTATTAAGCAACCAACCTATCTCTTTACGTAATTGTAATTTTAAATTTGTAACTAATAAAATATGCAGGTAAATGTTGGCGTTGGTAATTAATATTTTTTATCGGCTTATCTCGTTTATCATATTATATCTACTGATTTAAATTTTTCCGTATTTCCGCATTGTTATGGAATATAACGGCTAAGAAGAAAATATACGTGGGTTGGATGTGACCACATATTAGTTAACAAGTAACAAAATCAAATCTTTATAGCTAGTTAAAATGGTCCAAATGGTCTGTGCAATGTAGCAAAACGAACGACCTGGTTAAAACCCTCCTACGCTTTAAATGATATAATTAAAAAAATATATATATCAAAATTTTATTACGCATACTTTCAGCTGAAATTTGTGTTTACGATTATAAAAACAGTATTTTTAAATTATATACGAGTTATATAACCACACTTTAAGCATTATATAGTATTTGTATATTCTTATCATTGTAAGCATGTTCTTAAAAAAAATACTTTGCTAAACAATACATAAATGATGATAGAAATTAGAATCAAAGTGTCGCATGTTTACTAAGTTCTCGACTGATAGCGTATATAGAACTTTTTTTAAAATATATATTTATTATGATATTAAAAGTCCTGGACACAACAGGTAAAATGAACTTTAGTCTCTGAAAGTTTAGTCCCTGAGGCAGGGCAATCCTTACTCGCCTATTTTTTGAGAGAGTAGGTACTCTTGACGGCGCCAACTTTACCTTAAGGTGGTTTAAAAGTAATGTGAAATAAATACGCAATATAATTTTCTAACTTCCTAATGTGCGCTATATAATATAATACTTTTGTAATCAGAAAGTAGACTAGATTAAAAGCGTTATCAATTACAATATGATTGACAATAGATATCAATATCAGTCCATTATCTAAAGCTAAATATGACTCGGTCTAAATTGACGCACAAATAAGGACTTCGTTGTATATACTTACGAGACTACAGTGAACTGTCAATTATAATTTTCAACTATATAACGTTTATAGTTGGGACAGCAGATATTGTCTGTTAACGAAATCGAAACAAAGCATTGATAGAACTATTACAATAAAGTCAGTGAAGGATTTTTGATTGAAGTTTTCGAATGCTTCAAATCATTGTTATTTTATTTGTTACTCTCATCCGTTACATACTCATAATAAGACCCTTTATTTCACACTAGAAAGATTCATGATCAAATATTTCTCGAAACAATTGTAACCTTTGACAAAATTCACGACAGGCGTGTCAGTCGATATTTTAATGGAAATAATGATGGCACAAGCATGTAAATGTCATTTCCATATAAGCATTGATACTCTGATAAGATAGTTAGATTTGACACTAACATATAGTTTAAAATATCATTATAAAACAGCTATAAATCCATAAGAGGAAGAATAGCTTCGTCGCAATCAACGCTTGTTATTCAATTAACGCCCACGAGACAAATACATCCTACACAAAGTATCGGAGCGGTCAAAACCAAACCAAGCAAAAAATATTATGAAAACAAAACAAAGCACTAAAGATTAGCTTTTTCTTCGTGAGGATTTAGTATTAGCGATAGGGTCCAACTTCACATGAGTAAGTAGAAAAAAATATTGTCCATGTCCATTCAAAAGGTTGAAGCCCCTCCAGTTTAAGGAGGTATTTAATATGCAGATAATTATTATGTATAGCTAGTTAAAGTAGTACATATTTTCCAACAAACAATATATTTTCATATACGTATTTCCTATTTATAGAACAAGCATAAAAAGAGCTAACAACAATTATATTAAACAGAGCAGTGAAGTTTTTAGTGTTGAGATTCGTACTCTGTGAAAATATCTTACTGTGGTTGCCTGTAAGAGATCGGTCGAAAGCGATAAAGCCATCATTTGCCCTCCTTTTTATTTAATTATGTCAATTGTACTATATTTCTGTGCATGCAACGAAGTGGGAATAAATAAATACTTTTATTTTCAATTGGTTGGGTGGTAATAATGTAACGCATTCAAGGAACTAATAACTCTAGAGTTCCCATTGTATCATGATGTATTCTCAAATGAGATTACATAAACTTGTGGCGTATTCGAGATTGGTTATGGGATATTTTACGACCCTTCTTCATTGACAAAGTAGGTCGAGCGGAACGCGTTTAAACAAATTACACGCACATGTACACAAAGTAATAAGTGCTTTCATTGATATAAATGTAACACTGTTCTCACGATAAGCTGTAATTTATTCTTACAATGATGAAATCAAATACTTTTACCAAAGCTTTCTATAATCCTTTGAGAATAAAGTTAAACGTTACGAATGTGTATGCGATGTGAATATGCCAGTTATAAGTCTAAAAGATCTCGTTACCTAAACCCTAGCTGTTGTCGATTTATCGAAGGTTACAGTTTGCTAAAAATACTCTGTTAATAGTGAGTTATTTAATGTAAACAGAGCGTTGTGGGCGCAATCGTGGCCTCCACGCCTACAAATACAGGAACACATGTTCTTAAAATGCTCCTATAACACACTGTTCAACTGTATGCAACAAAGGTGCTTTATAAAATGTGTATGACCTAACCGCTTAGGTATTCTACAATTTGCATACACAGAACAGATAAAGTAATTGTGTTTTAATTATGTATACAAGAACATACTGCAAATTAAAACATTATTGTCTATGTTATGCATTCAAAAGTATTTTTGTAAATAAACGAATAATCATTTCGAATATATGCCGAATTATACCATTTAAAAGGTCTTTTTAAACAGCTGAAGCTATAGGATAAAAGTTAATTAATGATGGATTGAACTTTTTAAATAAAAGATTTCCAAATTTGATTTGTCATTCAAAGCACGCGACATATGTGGTAGAACAATCGACTAACCTTCCATTCCTTAAAGGTGAGGCCGGGGCAGCTGTCGTAGTTGTAGTAACGTCTTCATATGTCAACTTCCTGAGAGTCCTCGGTGATAATGGGGTACGCGGTGATGGGTCTGGTGTAATTGTTCGCTCATCATCATCATCTTCAATATGTTGGTATCCACGGTCAGTCCCAAGGGCTCGTCGCACCAGTTCTGGACTGGCGAGGCGGTTGGAAGCGCGTAACATCCCGGGGCGGAGACCTGGGGCGCCGTAGGTGAATGGTGCAGAATCGGTCCGAGCGTGATACGGTATATCAGGCGTACGATCAGAGTTAGACTGCGGCGTAGTGGGCGCAGGCGGTGGGTCTGGTAGGGCGCTCACGGTACGTAGCATGTCCCCCAGAAGGGCATCAAGTTCGTCGGGTGGACTGGGGGCGGCCCGCCGGCCGGCTGACGAAATACCAGAGTCCATTGAGGCGCTGAGCGGTGAAGAAGGGCCGCCGCTAGCGCGCACCACCGTTGCGTAGATAGACCCGTCTAAAGGACCGAATGTATGAGCAGCTTCGCCACTCTCCCCCGCCTCACCTCCAGATCCTTCAGCGCTGCCGTTATTGTCACCTGTTGGAATTACATAATATGAAAAACTTTTTCAAAATGAATGACCGTTGTGGAACGATTCATTGAGTGCGTGAGGCTGCGTGCGGCGGGTGACGTCACACGTTATAATAACCTGATTGCTAACTATCACATGGACGCTGAGACAGATACTCATTAACTGTATAGTGTTATAGTAGTGGGGCATTACACACAAGACCCGGACAGCAGCCGTAAATGGACTATTTGCTTCCCGTTACACGTATCCCTAGAGACCGTTGTCTCAAGGAATGCTAGAAAGAAGTTTCCTTATTTAGCGTACGGACGTTTTCTAAAACTAGGCGATGAATGATTTGTTGCCTAAGCTCTGGTCGATTGAACTACGACTTGTAATAAAAACTGCCATATGGTCAATAAAACAACATATGTGTTATTGAAATCCTTGTCCATGGAAAGATTATTACAAGCAATTAAACACTTGTATATATAAAAGTATTATTTATCAGTATTCGAATTCAAATCATAATATCCTAGACGTGTGGATTTTGGGCAGATACGACGATGTCAAACGTACAAGGCTAGCGTGGATTTTAGTTCAAGGTAATATTGCCAAACAAGGAAAGGCTTTACTACGAACATTTTGTGTACTTATTTGATGGCCGGAAGACACATAAATCTAACATAATTATAAACATATTACATAGATATACTACCAGCATTTAAAGCTTAGTGACTCAGGTAATACGATCCAAGAGCGTAAAATATAGTATGTTAAAACAACGGAGCCTGAAAATTACTCACGGAAATGTGATTTGCCTTTTAAAGGTTATTAAACAATGCAACTAACGACCAATATATAAATGAAATAAATAAATCAGTGGCGCTACAACCTCTTTAGGTCTTGGCCTCAGATTTCTGAATCTGTTTCATGATCATTTTTAAATCTAATAGGCAAGTAGGTGATCAGCCTCCAGTGCCTGACACACGCCGTCGACTTTTTGGGTCTAAGACATGTCGGTTTCCTCACGATGTTTTCCTTCACCGTTCGAGCAAATGTTAAATGCGCACATAGAAAGAAATTTTATTGGTGCCGGGGATCGACCTACGACCTCGGGTATGAGAGTCGCACGCTGAAGCCAACACTGACCTGACCAACGCTAGACCAATTTATACAGTCTATAAAATACATTTTATTATTCCAAGACTAAACTGTCTTTATACTTAACCAAAATCAAAATTGAACTGAAGGCAGTTTTAATTAAGTAAGAATTACACAATTAAGTAACTGTCAGTATCATTAAAATAAAATCTAGTTAAATTGTATAAATTAAACCGAAATAACTATTTTTACAGTATTTCGTATTAATCGTGAACATGTCAATAACGCAATTAGTGTCACTTGTGGAAGTTATTTCTGTGATGTCAACGAAAATAAAACGAGGGCTACTGTTACGAAAGCCACAGGAAGAGGATGCGGACGACAAACTGCGCTCCAATTACATTGCAAAGATATTGATAAAAAACTAATGATTCCCGTCACCTCACCCGGGGCAAGGGCCGATTCGTTTCTGTGTCTGGTACATAAGTATAAGACAGATAAGAATTACACTATTAATTATATTAAATAAGTAATATTATACGCCTATTTGATTTTGTTATTAAGCATTGATTAATCATAGAAAAAGTTTAGTATTTGCAGCACACGAGAGTTACCTATCTTATTACTAAAATCAGCTTAACTTAGTCTTAAAGTAGAAATAAACTTTAAAAAACGTCTAGTCATTCACTACTAACTAATTATTATTGTTCATATTTTCTACCAGATTTTAAGCCTGCGGAACACTCGAAATAGTATTATTGCATGTTTCCATGTAATAACAAGAACATATTTGTATCGTATCCAATTATAAATAAGAATAATTAAAAATGTAAACGTATGGCAACATACAAAATTCACTTTTTACATAAACACACGCGTCAGGCGTGCCCTCGCAAAAAATACTTAGGACTGGTTTTAAAATGTGAAGAATCTGGTTTTTTGAATAAAAATTTACATACTTAATGAATTTGATACACTGTAGGCAGTAGGAGCATTGTGGGTGTCATTAGAACAGTGTGAATGATTCTATAATGGTTTTTAAACAAAAAATTGTAATGACATGTAAAAAATAATGGAGAATAATTACACAAAACAATCTTAGAGGAATTGCTTGAGTATTATGCCACAACATAAACTTATATAACAACATAATCTTGAATGTATTTAAGTTTATATGAATGTTACATTTTTAACAAAAAAAAATTCTTTATAGTAGGCAACAACCTTCTATCTCATGTCGTCAAATTATAAGAAAAACTGTTTCATTTCGTTCCGTCGTAAGAAAAATTCAATGATCAGGGTACGAACGCTGAATCTAAGGATATAGAGTTTCACACTGTAACTCTTCTTGAAATTATCTAGTAGGCATGGCTCAAATAATCTATAATTTAATAAAGCGAAAGAAGGATTATGGAAGCGGAATATATTGCGATGTTAATTCATTGCGAGACAAAAATATTGTCACTACACCACTACTATGGGTTTGTCTAAGTATTAAACGTTAACATAATTATGTCTGCGGTAAATATTCGAAAGAAAAATCATATTTTCGCGTAGTAATCAGAGACAGTGTAAGATTCTTCATACAAATATTGAATACAGTAGTTTTTCCATGAAGACAAAGTATTCTATATAAGTAAGATTAAGTATAAGCGGTCGTAAAATAATTCTGCGTAAAATGTTTCAAAATTTAAGGTTTTATTTTCTGTTACTGTACCAGGTAATTAATATCAAATATATAAATACATTATAGTGGAAACAATTTTATTCGACGTTGTGGACCGTCCTGTATAATAAAATAAAAACAAACGCTACAACCTTTTAGATCTGGGCTTCAGATTTCCGTATCTGTTCGTGATCATTTGTATTTTTAATACGCATGTAGGTGATCAGTCTGTTCCTAACACACGCGATCAAGTCTAAGTCATGCCAGATTACTCACGATGCTTTCTTTACCGTACCAGCAAATGTTAAATGCTCACATAGACATAGCCTTCACCCCGTACATAACCTTCTCCATCAAGGATGAAAGTCGCACGCTGACGACTGGGCCAACACTGCTCGTCGGGTTTAACATATGCAATAAATATTCACTTTCATATCTTCACAGACCTCCTAACAACTGAGCTTGAGCTATTCGACAGATATATAGACAATCCAAGACATTGTAAAACGTGTTATTGTATGTTTTCATATTATTTTAACACCCCACAAGTTTATACTTATAACAGACCGTCGTTAAGCCACAGAATATTAAGATTCGTAAAGTGGAGCCCATATGAAGGTGAGCGTTTCGTGACTTCCAATGATGTCATCCATGTAGACTCGTGTTTCTAAGAACCTCTTAAATTGTTATTCAACCTTATCCTTTATCTGTAACTTAGCTCGAATTTGCAACCTGTTTCGTATTTTTACGTGTTGGTCATATACAAGGTTTTAAAAAAATAATTAAATGATGTTATCGAAGCCAACTGGGCTGAGTGGCTTTATTAAATTTCAAAGAGACTTTTAGATGGAACAGATAGTTCAAAATATTTATTATCATTACACAGATTTTGCCTTGATAAGAAAGTATTTTTACGTAATTTCATAATAACATATTAATTAGGAGATATTTGGGACTTTGTATTTGTTAAAACCCCATAGAAAACATATGTTTCATTTAGTATTGTCTTTTATTGACATAACTTTTACACATAGAAAAATACTTGTTTACCGGATTGAAGTTATGTATTATTTTAACAATTATTTTACATAACGTCGGTTAAATTAAAAACTATGTAAAAAATTATAAACTTAAAATAATACATAACTTCAATCCGGTAAAAAAGTGTTTTTCTATATGTTTCATTTGTTAACGACCTATGTGATCATTTTTTAAACACGAATAAAAACCTAATTTCATATATAACCAAAGTTCAAAGTTTAATTCCTAAATATTTATCTTAAGTCTTACATCATACACAGGATCCCATATTAAAGCACTATTTTCAAACCACTTTAAGTCTGTTTTGATTGCACTGAAACACTTTAAAACGAACGTGTATATCGGATGCACATGCAGCATTGACTGATTGAGAACATAATCACATCGCTTGATAAACTCGTTTTAAAATTGATCTTTTTGATAGCATAAATGATTATTTCGTATCGTGAATAGCGAAAATTATAGATAAATGTAAAAGGCAAGATACAGTGATTTAATTTATGCCAAAAACTAGCATTGTTATTGGTAGATTATTTTTCGTTTCGTTTGTTTGAATGATCCGTTTTACTTAAAGTAGGTTAATCTTTCTGACATTATGTCTCGAAAAATTTATATTGATGCTTCGTGGTAAGAAACAGCACAAAAATAATAAAATTAATTGTATGACATTAAATTACAACTTACTACTTAACCACGTGCGCGTGAGTTTTATTTATTACCGATAGCCGTTTAAGGTTTAATGTCCACCAGTGGTTGATTTTATAGCCATCAAATGTCACATACTAAGACGAGTTTCGGCAATAAAATTGCAATGTCCGACAAATAAATCTGAATATTTAAACATCAAGAATATTTCAATTCATTTTAGTATTTAAAATATTTAAGGAATACCTTGTCCTCACATGCAGAGGCTTTAAGTATTGTATTTAATAAACGAGTTTATAATATTTTCCTCTATTCACGAAATCTTGATAGAAATTTGGTACAAGATCCAGACGGAATTTTTCCTAAATTTTAATCAACAATAGTCAACGATCTCTTGATTTGAATCGAATTGGGCTTAACTATGACGAATATCAGTTTGAGGGCTCGCGAAGAGCATCGTGCATCAATCACATTTACTACGGTGCTCAATTAACCACGGCGCCATTCAGCGGCACCGTGTTCTTATAATTGAGTGAGCTTTGACCAGAACTAATAGTGTCTTAATATTAACTTTGGCTATTAACCTTTGTTCATCAGTGAAAATTCGGCGATTGTTGATAGTTTTATCATCGTCAATAGTAGAAACAATTACCTCATACCCACATCATCGTTAATCACTTACCGCGGCATTTTACTTATTATATTGTATTTGCTGGTGTACTAAAAATACACTTAAAATTGATATAGTACAATAATTCTTTGAAAACTTTTAATTGTGAAATTAGGATCACTTAATAATATTGTTGTTTTGTTAAAACTCCAACACATAATCACACGGCTTAACGATGTTAGTAACACAAAATCCAATAAAACACAAACTTAATTAGTCCCAATTCACTGACAAATTTCATTACCGAACCTAAAATCTTACCTCAACTCAATCACAACAAATAATTAATTATATTAAACATATTGTGTTTTTTTAATCCACGTGTAAGTGAGCAGCCGGTCTGAAACGCAAGTAAGAACTGGGCGGGCGGCGTTGGGCGGGCGGCCACGTCTAAAATAGCATAGCACCTGCAGCTACACTCAACCGGCACCTATACGATAACTGTTTTGTCAACTCGAATGACACAATTTCATTAAACCACCGACATCCGGTGTCGGATACGACTGTTTTGTAATTGAGGCATTGGAAAAATGAAGGATACCTGCCGTATTTGTAAAAGCGACTTGAATATCGAACATGTTACTTGATGATAGAAAGTTTGATATATAAAATCATAATTTTAAGCAATCTTTTAACACTTCAGTTGATAAACTTAAGTAGGTTTTTTGTGATTGTGTGCTCTACACAAGGATCCACAGAGTAAGCCTCTTCTTAAATAAATTATAACCTTTATGAAAGTACTTGCGATAAGTAATTCAACGATAACCAGTTGTTTATCTGGAAATTATACGAAATTTATGCGAAATTTATGGTTGTTAATTAGGTGAAGGCAAACTGTAGAACAGTATAAATAAACAGCCTTAGACGAGACGAAATAACGCAGAACCGACGTTTACTTCCGACAGACTATTAGTATACATTTTATAATATATAATTAAAATTGCTACCAATCTAAATATTAATTATACGATTATATTATATTAAAAAAATATTATTCAGTTAAAGAAAATCGGTATTCGTAAAAAGGACTATACCGTCCTTTTAAATACAACTAAAAAGCTAAACTTTAAAGAAAACGAAATAGTTAAAATACATTTTAGTTGTTATATAGCAGCGAAAAAATTAATTAAAAAAATATTTTTATTAGTTTGAAAAGAAAACAATTTTTAACCGGATTGAAGTTATGTATAATTATAGATTTACAATTATTATTGGAAATCAACATAATTTTATATTTGCAGCCGACGTTTCGAACGTGCTTTACAGCAGTGCGAGTGGAAATCACCGTGGACCACCGTGTTTTCTTTTAAATGTTTAAAGGTTATGTCAATATAAAAAGACAATACTATATTTTAATTAGTTATCATGTGAGATCAACATGATGTTATAGTTGCAGCTGGTTACAAACATTTCTTAAAACATACTTTTGTTGTACCCATTAAGCTGTATACCTTACAAAATGGAAATCAAATTGTCACTCTAGAAAACATAATAAATAAGTATATTCGCAAATACGTTAAAACTTAAGAATTGCGGTGACCAATGACTTTAAATAGATCGACGCGGATGCAAAAGCTGTTATACGGCATGCTCTTATTTCTACCGTTCTTTGAACTATAGTTCCTGGGTTAAATTTGAGTTCTTATTAAAATCATTATTCTCTATTATCTAAATAAATATAAATAGTATTAATAATATAATGAATAATATATGTTTAAACAGAGATGCGTTCGTAATCTTATAACTAATTTATGATTTATATAACTTTTTTTCCTTTTCTTTTATTTTTCCTATTGTCTTAGAACTTACAAATAAATTTATCAATAAATCTGATGCAAAGAATAATTATAGATACATTGTGCTTAAAATGATTGTTTATAATGTCTAATCAGTCATTTAAAAAGACCAAAAACTATAATGATTCTATGTAAAATTGTTCATAACACTTACGTAGCCATTCCTATAAACAAAGTAGAAATCAATAAATTCCATTAATTTGGAGTTTTATATTCAGCTGGATTGCTGCATTTAATGTTCTACGAAATGTCACCTTATTTTCGTTTGTTTTTAATTATGTCAATATAAACGATATTTAATAACGACATAAAAAGGACAATTTGTGTATATTTTGGTGATTGTGATCATAATCAAGTCGGTCTTACAAAATTACGAATTTAACACTCGCTCGTACGGTGTAGCAAAAGGAAAACATCGTGAGGAAACCGGCATGCATTTCTTAGTCAAAAAGTCGACTGTGTGTGTTAGGTACAGAAATCTAAGGCTACTAGTACTGGTACTGTTAAAACAATGAATATTGATTCTAAAAACACACTGTTCCTGTCTTATGTCTAAAACAATCCACTTTACCAATAAATATGTAAATATTTTAACTTTGTGTTAGTGTTATTAATCTCGCATCTGACACCAGCGTCTCGTACTTTGGGTTTAATTATAATAAGATCATTTCATTTACGATCTCCGCCATTAAGTTGTGGAATACGCTGCCTGACTCCGTACGATTGGCTACCTCTCTGTCATCTTTTAAAACTCTTCTGTATAATCATTTCTTAACCTTATCCTATCCTCATCAATCGTGACTTGTATAATTCTTATGATTCCTTTTACATCACTATTCGCTGTTCATGTATTTGTAAGATTAGTTTTTAAGTTTTTAGTTTGTTATTAATATTTTTTTTTTGTATTGCTTTAGATTAAGGATTCTGCACTTCTCGCACGCATCATGTGTCTTTTTTTTTAGTTTTTCTCTTAACTAGGGTTGCCTGGAAGAGATCGCTTATTAGCGATAAGGCCGCCCGTTGCATCCCTTATAATTTTTATGTATTGTGTTTCTCATACTATTAGCAACGAAGTGTAAATAAATAAATAAAAATAAAAAATAAAATAAGATTAAACAAAGATCGCATATTTACTTGTAATTAACATTAATTTGAAATGCTTTATTTGGTGTTTTTTTTAGTGTTATTATTTTAATGTACTATAAAATAAAACCTATAAACTTAACTTTTAAGTTTTGTAGTATTGATTCAATGCACATACTAAACTTTTTCTCGTCTCGACCGTGTTAAAATAAATGTTAAGGATATAAAAATATTAACCACATGTTAAGTCGGCTAGAGTAGGTACTTTTAAAATCTCACCTGGTTCATCATCAGTAAGCGTAGATATGGGTCGTAGATGTTCCAGAGAATCTGCTCTAGCTAAAGCGTCTGGGGCTGCGCGAAGAGGAGCCGCGGGAGTTGGCGCCGGGGCAGCACCGCCTGACCCCTCACCCCTAGCGAACACCAGCTCTACTGCGCCATCACTTGGAAATGATGGATCTAGGGGAGAATGCTCTTTTCACAAAATATTTTTTTCACTTATCACAAAGATCTTGCTTTTTATTGGAACTGAAACCAACAGGTTCATTCTCAAATATAATACAGTTAAAAGAATAATCTTATATGGTTCCGTATTGGCCCGTTCTTCTCAGAACAAGGCCTCCTGGTAGTTTTGCGAACGGATGGCGTAGTCTTGCTCTTTCGTGAATTTTGTAAACGTTGTTGACATTCATAAGCATGCTCTAAGAAGCATCTAAATTGAATAAACGTATTTTGATTTTGATTTTGGTAAATAACATTCATAAAAACAAAATTGTGTTACAGTTTGTATTGAAATTCTATTCACGGTATAACGTCACAGGGAATCGATAGAAACAATTATTCTATGGATTTCCTTGGATCACCACATCCACCGTGCGTTGAAACTTAATGTCGGGTAAGAAAATAATACTTCGTAATTAATGATAATAAGTGTCTCACGTATGAGAAAAGTTTATTTAACATAAGAAAACGTTGTTAAAAGAAATTAAAAGTGGCTGTTAGAACTTTTTGAGATTAAGTGCGCTTACTGAGGCTTTAAAAAAGGTGTATTTAAAAATATACAGTGCTGATTTTAATAATTAATTGAGAACAGTGTTAGGTACTATATAAATTCTATTCATATATTTAATGGTGTTTTGTTATATAGTTATTTTATTTTACTTTGTTTGGTTTCAAATTCGGAACGTAACCTTATTTCACCATTGGATATTTATATCGAAAATCTTACAGCGTTTCTACTTATATTTGACGCAGACACGTTTTATGTTTGGAAGATTTGATGGTGTTTAAATATTTGCTCTACATTTATACCCCGATATCTACATAATCTGGGGCACGGCCGTGCCCCCGCCAAGTCGAACAAAAAGCGGCACGGCCGTACCATACTTTTCCGAAACAGTTCAGGCTATTTTCGACTTCTTCTTTCGTTCTTTATAACTTCGTTGTGGATAAAACTAGAAGTTTAAATTTTATATAAACATATGTATCTAACAAGGAATACATATTATATTAGATTGTTTAGTTCGATTGCCACGTCAATTTATTTCTTTAAAACATAAAAGTTTTTAATATTTATATGTTACGTTATTAGATGTTGTTAGGGTAGGTAATAACGTAACAATTTGAGATAGAAGTTTCCTTAACTAGAGGAACATAAATAAATTAACCTACTTGGTATTACGGAGATCTCACAACTTTTTCGGAAGAAGTTGCGAGACTTGTATTTTTTTACAAGTTATGTTTTTGTTGGCATCAATTTAACCAATTAACACACACAGATCCACCTTTAATAACTGTGTAAATATGACGGAAAGAAAGGAAAGAGCTTTTTTTATTAAAACAGTGATGATAAACAGCATCTATCAGACGGGGTTGTGATAACGTTAGAATATTTTTCTAGATATAACCCCAAAGGAATGTGTATGGTGAAAAGGTTTTGGACAGTGTGCATCTTATTTTACCATGCAGAGCGTGGTCAAGTTGCAGCTTAGTGAAGGAGAGCGTGTGGTCGACGACAGCGCACGTGTGGAACTGACACGCGAACACTAGATGGCGCGCAGCGTGCGCGTGCGTAGTGCGACGATATGCTCGTACGAGCACATCTCCCCGGAGGGATAAGCGACCCACGCCTACGGTCCAGCCACCACCGTTCACCATGTACAGACCTGAAGAAAGACAAGATTTAATATTTTTTAATTTACATAAGGATTTACTTCATTCTTATAAAAAATTAAGAGAGAAATATTTCAATGTATCAAATCTAATATCAAGTAAATAATGCACTACTTCTGTATCTGATTTATCTGTAGTAATCACCCTTTATTCCAACTTAATTGAAATTAATAATATTTCAACCGGAACTGAAACCATCGTACTACTTTGTACTTTGCCTTATCGTTATAATTACAATTAAATTTAAAGATTTTGACTTCATAATGGCCATATAATTATGTGCCTATAACACAACTCACAATATTGTATTGGATCTAAAGGATTCAATCCAATACGTTTTTGACATACAGAGGTCACTCTTAAACTTAGTTCGTCTCTCAGTTTATGGCAGATTCACACAAATATTGAAACTAACCGGAATTCAATGAAAAATTGTAACGGAAATTTCTTGTTTAATCTTAAAATGTATAACAATGACAAAATGGTCGTTAGACAACAGGGTCTAAATTGGTACCTGAAGTATAAACACATGTGTAATTCTCGTAGATTTTAAGAAAGGCGATTGTAGGTGTAGATGTCGCTGCAAGCGATCCTGCGACGCTCACGTGCGTTAGGTGAAGAGGAGCTGAGTTCACTCGTATTTGTCCCGCCAGTAAACCGGCGAATGTGTCTATATATCTGTAAGACAAAATATTTTGTTTTTATTACAATTGTATGACGAAGTAAGTGTATAATCTAAACGCAATAAAACCACTGTTTCTTCTAACTTTGTGTCACTAAAACTGAGTTATGAAAAATGATCCGGGTAATCGCACAAGAGCTTACTACTTATCCTATTAAAGGTCAGACTTCGCCGGATAGTGATATTATCATTATAAAGCTTTATATAGTACAAATACGTTAAATAAATTCAATCAAATTGAAGCTCTACTTAGCAATGTATTTGATATTACATGAATGTATGCATGTAGTATGGACTCAGTTTCCCCACTTTGACGCCCATTTGGTCAACGTTGTGTTTTAAGTCCTGGCTAATTAAGCCAGTCTAGGTCATTCCAGAAGATTGATATTCAACATTCAAAAATCATTTAATCATATAGGTAACACATTGTACTCTTATGATCGTCAAAAAAAAGAAATGTATATGAAATGCTTCAAACTTTACATTTAGTGCCAGTTCTCAAATCTAGGGCGTAGAACGGAAGAGAAGAACTGGCAATAAACTAAAATATTACATTATTACATAAACTTCAGTATTGTAAATTGTCAAATGAGTTTCGTTAGATACTATTTACAAATTGTGATGGACCAAAAACTATTGTTCATTATCCAGATATAGATTATATTTTAACGCAATTTACCATTTACGGTATATATTCACATGTTTACCGATTATGGTAGGTAAAAACGATATTTAGCTCTTGCTTTTGAGTATTGAAGCTTATAGAGTTTACTGCAATATTGTCAGATTTATTTTATCTTCAACTATTCTGACAAGTGTTTTGACTTTACTAGTTGAATGTCAACCCTACCCACCCAACTAGTGGTGTTGAAAATTTATATAATGTTATTTATGCTATAATTCAGTCAATATACTCACCGTTTATTAGAAGGAAGTGTAAAAACTGGGACTCGGTCATCCAGGTACCGTCTCATAGCATATCGGTCTAAGGCATGTTCCGGCGCACCACATATGGCTGAATAGTGCATGTAAGCCGCTACGAGAACTCCTAAACGTTCGCGGTTACCCCTGAAAGTGTTAAAACAAATTGAAATATAAAAACAAGGAGTTAGTGTTCATAATTATTGACATAAGATGTCGTGACATGACTGCAAGCTTAACACGTACATATGAACGTCAATTACATAAATTATCTTAAATAATTTTTAGGGAATTAGAACGCTCCCAAATTGTTAGCTACATATTTAATGAGTCAATAGTTTTAATCGGAATTTGGTTATAGACCCCTAAATATTAGGACCTTTGAATTTTATGGTTACCATGCAAGTAAAATGGCGACGTTCTTTGGGTGTGCAGCAAGCCAGCTTTCTATGTGTTTACAAGCAGCGCATAATCGTTCCAAAGGTGGCGCCAAGTCTCCAGGCCAGCCGAGGGAACGAGCCCGTCCGAAGACACTACGAGCCGCTCGCCCATCGTTTGTCATATCTCCGCTCACTTCGAATACCTGAAAATGTATGTAATAGTTGAGAAGAAGAAGAAGAATACCTTTTATACCAGTGTTTCCCAACCAACCTATTCAACATACATAACTTATAATTAAAAAAATATCGCTAAAATAAAGAAACATAAATGATACCTATCATATTTTTCCTTTTAAGGAAGAAATTACTTCGAAATTGTTAGTGGTACACAGTAAATAAAACATATAAAGAAAAATTTAAATACTAATTTTAAATTAATTTTTGAATTAATGATAAATCTGCTAAGAACGTGTCAACGAACATGTGTTTTTCAAATAAAATATCAGAAAATTAATTAAATGTGTAATTAAAGAGTCGAGTTAAAATAGTATCGTCAAAAACAATTTCTAAATCTAAGCCTAATTCACTATTTTACGGACTGGTTTTTTACTCAATCGTGGTGTATCTCCAATTCAAAATATGTATTTTTATTTAGTTTTTCCGTAGTGTCCAAAACGTCCGATCACTGAAATATAAATTTTATTTCATAGTTACCACCATAAATTTCACTACAGAACAGAATAATTAAATAGCGATATAAAAACGCGCAGTCCTTTGACGAATTCGGCTAAAGAGTAAGCGTGGAGTTTCAGTCAGATTTTACGCAAAGGAAGTGCTAATGATTGGATTTTTAAATTTGTCATATCGTTACATCACACATGAAAGTTATCTGTGAGGTAATTAAACACAAAAATTCATTAGATATGCTTGTTATACCTTTTTGTTCATTATAAGTGACAAACCGTGAAATTTCGCATCAGTGTTTTAAGGCAATTAAATTTCTCTTAAGATAAGATAAGAATACCTACAATAGGCAATATGGCCTACGGTTTTTATGAAGAATTTTTTCACTTAGGACAATTAACAAAAAATTTTGCAACGTATTATAGCGTAACTAAACATTTTATTCATATTAACTTTGATAAGAGATTAATTTTAAACACCTTATAAACGGTATAATGTAAAACTTACGACCAATGATGTTTTATACATTAAGTAATATTGAAATTTATCCCCGTTGTTCTTCGAGTATTATGATACCATAGTGCAGAAAAATAACACATATTTACCATAAAATGTTCGCCATGTTTATTAGTCAGCATATGCGCAGCTTGGGCCTCAGCTTGTGCGTCCCTGTGAGGCAGGTGTAAAGCCAGCATTCGTTCCGCCACATAGCACAAATCGAGTCGCGAAGCCGGACCTCCACTTCCAGAGTAGCTTATAGATCTTGGGCCTCCCTGTTAAAATAATGTTAGTTAATAAAGATTAAATTATAACAGAAATTCCAGATATTTAACTTCTTTAACGACAAAATTTAGTAGTCCATAAATAATTTGTATCTATAAGATTACGAAAAATTATTATCCAGAAAGAAAATTAGGCCACTTTAATAAAATAAAACTAAATAAGGAAAAATATATATTTTGATCTGCAAGTATATACTAAACTGGAACAGCAGATTTAAAGGAGTACGCACAGTTAGTTTAAAGAGGTATATCCAAAAATACTTGGTAAACATAAAATATTTGCCTCCAGGGTCAAAAGAACGGTAACCGATGATTAACCTAAGTAAAATGTTTATGTGAAACCAAAACATCGTAGGCGCGACATAGCTCTTAGAAAGTGACACAGGCCGTGCGTAGGCGCAGAGCAAACCGACTATGCGCATCTTGCCGTTAATCCGATTTATTTGTGGCTTACTCTATAAAAGTATCTTTATACTAACCATAAATCGAAAATACTATGATTAAGATAGTAGAAATGAAATTATTCTGTTTAAGTGCCGCCTCCGCGAGTCAGTTGCCTACGCTTTAGTTTATATGTTTACAAAATAAAAGATATAAAAAAGTTAACCACTCTTCTGATTCTGAACTTTTTAGTGCTTTATAAGACTAATTACTATAACCAATTTAAAAGTTCTTTGCTGAAATTACTTCCATTGATCTAATGCTCGTCACAAATATGTTTAGTAATAACTTTTCAAATGAAATATCAGGACTTAATGTATATATATGGTACACTATGTACTAATATTAGATTGTTAATAATACAAAAACAAGATTGTTAATAACTTTCTTTGAACACCACACGCGCGAAAACGAACGCGTGCGCGAGGACGGGGTAACATTTTTTTTATATAACGTGTCTTATTTAAATACGGAAGGCAATAATTGTCGAAGAAGCTAATTTTAATAATTAAACACTACAAAACTCGGTAAGTAAATAGAGTAGATGGATGTGTAAAGATAAACAAAAAACTTACGTATTCTGTTGCGAAAGTGAGAGGTCCAGGCGTAGCTGGCGCGCTGACTGCACGAGTCTAGAAAAAACACAATATAACCCATAAAAACATGGATACATCCACATATTTGAACATTCTATTGATTGATTAGTAAAATTATTTAAATACTGTGTTCGTTATAATCGTTTAATTTAAAACGCATACGCAAATTCTTGGTTTTTACTTATTTAAATGACATCTTTGCTCAACTTAATTGTTTTATTTCTGAATATATTAAACAAAGTCAATATCTACACAGCTTAAACATGAAATTTAATTAAAAACACATTAACAAGGTCGCCTGTCAATCGAAATAAAATATAGATTTCTTGTCTGAAAGTAATTTAATCCACGCCTTTTTTCAACTGGCGCCTTGAGTTGACAGCTGTCTCAAAATTTATTCAGATTCAACATTCAGTTCTTTATTTCGCTTGAAAAAAGTAGGAGTATTATAGTGGTTTAGCGTAGCAAACATATTAGCCCTTGGTCTTAGAGGACCTATTTCGAACTGCTTAGTTATTATGACGTGAAATTATCGTAAAAATATCTAATAAATCTTAATTAGGGTTGCCTGGAAGAGATCGCTTATTAGCGATAAGGCCGCCCGTTGCATCCCTTATAATTTTTATGTATTGTGTTTCTTATATTATTAGCAACGAAGTGTAAATAAATAAAATAAAAATAAATAAATAAATTATTGTACCACAACTCAATCTCTTTTACGATTTTTTTGTTTGTCGGTGTTTCTAATTTCCTAAACGATTACTGTGAAACGTTTCAAATACGAGTAGATATGAGCGATCTTGACCTCAAATATAGTCCATATTTGAGGTTCATTTATATTTTACACACATCAATATTTCTACTACTTCCACCGTTGCTTGACTTTGCCGATCGATTTACACATTCCGCTAGATCCCAGCAGTAATTACCGATTAAACGCTGATTTTGTTTCATTAAATCATGATTTTAAATCAACCACGCTTTCATCACGTTTACTAACACGTTCTTTTAGAGCGAGTATCGTGGGGCCAATGTTTATTATGATAAATGATCAAGAAAGGTGTGGTCTAAGTGATTACTGCAGGTATAATGGATAGCTAATTACCGTTACTGCACTATATCTTATCAATCTACCCATCACTTTACGACGTATCTGAACACCGATCAGACATCATTTTTAGTAGAATTTTCTGTTTATACACGATCTACATGATTAAAAAAATATACTATTTAAGTATTTCGACGATGATTTAGTAAGTAACTTTTGCTTGAAAATGTTTACCCAATAATTTTTAAATACTTCAATTATATCAGATTTTATTAGGATGTTTCAAATGTCTCGTTAACGAATAAAATTTAACGAGTTTTTATAATAAAAGTGTAGACAACGTTACTGTAAAGTCGAAAATATTTATATTAAATTACAGTAGGTACGACATAAAAACACAGACGGTCAGAGATAGAATCAAAGCAAAACATATTTCCTTGGAGATTATACATTACAAAAAAATAATTCGTAAAATAATCGTATTACTAGTTTTTTTAAGTAACATGGGGCAAACGGGCAGGAGGCTCACCTAATGTTAAGTGATTCCGCCGCCCATAGACACATTGCCAGAGGGCTAACAAGTGCTTTGCCGGCCTTTTAAGAATTGGTTCCCTTTCCTAAGTCGAGGTGGAAGTGATAAAATGATTTTTTTGCTAGGTAGATAAATCAATTCTTTTTAAAAAGGTGCAACGACCGGTTTTTCTTTTTGAGGCTAGCCGATACATACGATTACATGACTTCGGATTTCTATGTTAGTATGTTCAGATCATCAACAATGCAAACATACCTCTACGATACTATCTAGTGACTATGGAATTGGTGTTTTATCACTGGAGATCTCGTAATGGTATGTCGCAGTAATTGCGCATTGAATTTTAAAGACGAATGTAGGATTTGCATTGCTAAGTATTGCTTAAAAGTAACACGCATATAAATTGAGTATTTAAACGGTTTTAAAATCATTTAAGTAGATGTGTGTGTACTTTAGCATCCTCCCTCTTTTTATCACAACATCAGCACCATAAGACAGAAAAGGACAGTGTTATAAGATTATGAATACGGTATAGAACGATTAATGTTTTTGTATAGGTATATGCGTAAAAGATGGATCATTAACTGTAGTGCGATACAGATAAAATGATCCATCTTTATCGCTGATTTGTATAGTTAATTTGTACTAGAAATTGAATTAAAGACTTCCCAGGTATATTAAAAAGAAGCGCTTCTCAAACAGCAGTATATAACTATTTGGTAGGAGATGGTAATAAGAAAAACTTTAAATAATTACAACAACAAACAACTTTATACGTGTACAGACTTAGAATATTAATTTAACATAAACTACAGTAATCATAATATATTATGAGTTTCTAACCAATTATACGATCATATAAATAACCTTAATGATTGATACCAAACAGGGTTACCGCTTAATTGAAAGTTAAGTACGCGCATGTGGTTCTTTGCTTTGATCTCAGCTTATTACTGCATTAAATTGATACTACATGACTAACAAGCGAAAACCTCGACTTTGGAACATTTAAATTACTTCATAAGGCTACATGATATTTATATTACTTCTAAAAGAGAAGCACGGTACACCGTATACTAATGCGTAGGCCAACTCTTTTAGCTCTCTCTTATTGCTTTAATGCATTATAAAATGTATGTAACTAAATTTTTATATACGCGCATATATTGAAAGATAGTCAAAGACTTCTACAAACCCAGTTCCACTACTACCTTTTAGTTTTCGGATTTCTGTAACTTTTTCGCGATGATTTGTTTTCTCCAATAGACTGTTTGGCTCTAAGACATGCCGAATTTCCTTACGATGTTTTTCTTCACCGGACGAGCGCGAGTTCAATGCACACATAGACATTAAGTTCATTGGTGCACAGCCGGTTATCGAAGCTATGACTTCAAGGATAAGTGTAAGTACGCTAAAGCCATTTCATTAACAATAGAAAGAAGACCGTTACAGTGATGTCTTTTTATCCTGCAACCGTTTTAAAAGAAATGTCACTAAATGTGACGCTAAATGTGTTTAGACTTTTAATGTTTAAGTATTTTAATTGAGTTAACTATACACGCACCGTTATAACATGCTTGCTACGTTTACTTCTGGATCGTTGAGGGTTTCTTTGCAAGTGAAATGCTGCCCTCCACAACGCAAAAGCGAGTCGGTGAAGCGCGCGCGCCGCATCGCCATCTCCATCATCACAACGCGACGTACGTGGTCGCATCTTCCACTCACACAATTATATTCCATAGTTCTTATACCGGCATTATCGAAAGTCACAATATAAATAGTGAATAGCTAAAATATTATTTACGTAATAGAACGGGATAATAATCATCAATCCGCCAGCTATATTTCTTTTTAGACGCTTTCAAATAAGTTTATGCGTTTTATAAGCGCAATAATTCTTTATAGAATGAATAGTGATTGGTCAAAGGTAGTGGATTAAATTAAACCCCATAGGAAGCAGGATCTCGTATGGGGCATGCGCTCCTGCATTGCGACACTTTAAATTTTATGGACGCATGTATTGCCAAACATTAATGTTAAATTCTATAAAAAGCAATATTTATAAAATAGTGCATTGCTGTTTAGGAATACGTGTGTTTTCGTAAACAAATCTTAAAGTTAAAATTGTTTAAGCAATGAAGCTAATTTTATCCTCTCATATAACCCTGACCTTCGCACCGAGGGTTAACAACCTTGGGGGTGGGGCTCATCTAAATAAAAGATCGTCAAATCTATGAAAGTGAGCGGTCACGGAATCTTTCTTTACGATCCTTTCATTCCGCACCAGCTGTTTATATTTTTCTTTTTGCCTGTCGATAAGCACAAATAGCTCATACAAAAGCTCGTCTCATATGCGAATATAACGGTTTTAAATGAAACATTTTGAATATCTAAAATGTATTTTCAATGATTGCTGCTGATATAAATGAATTTATAATATTTATTCTGTGAGGCACGTGTAATTTGCATACTTCTTTGGTTTATCAAGAAATTTATCTTATCAAATGTAATCTCAGTGCTTCAGTCTGTTCGCAGATATTTCTATCTACATACATTATAAGCAAGTAATAATGTTTAATTAACGTCAACGTTTTTAAAAATTAAAACTTTTAATTATTATATTTATTTAACTATCACCATAGACATAAAAACTTTATAAAGCTCGTGAACACTATGGAAAACTCATTAGCACAACGAAACAAGTGAATTCACTTTCGACACTTTTATAGAGTTTAAAAATAAACACCGATTCGTCACCGCACGCATAATGTAATTCGGGAACTCTAGTATTTTTTCTAGGATGCAGCGAGCGTGCAGGACGTAACGCGACGCTGAAGCACAGCTGAAGGACTGGCGTCTGGCACGAGGCGTCGTACCGTCGTCCACGCTCGCCGCTTCGACGCCACGTTACTAGGCAACCGTCATCTTATTTTCGCACCCCACACTGCACTTCTAAAGAATTTTCGCTATAATATAATTTTTTTTTTTCTGTAAAATCCTATGGAAGTCTGCTTATAAGGTACTTTAGATATAACAATTATTGTATTTTATAAGTGCCGACTAAAAGTTCCTTTCCGTATATACAATCAATGTTTGATTTCATAATTGATCCATAACCTTTTTCAATACGTTATTCGATTCAAACCGTTAGTACCAATCACTCGTGATTAAAGTAATAAATATAGTTTTACTTTTACTATAGAATGTGTATACATACAATAAAAATATTAAAGCGTTACGCAACAGCCATAGTTCATTCATAATTATTAGGCCACGCGCCGCCCGCCTAATCGCGCGTTTCGTATAGTGGGGCGGGCGGGTAGTTCCGTAAACAAGAGAATATACTACTAAGACAGTTAACAGTGATCGTTTTTGTTTGAGATGTTATAATATATATTGCAGGTACACCTATTTTCAGATCTACAATAACTTTTTTACATCCACCGAAAGAAAAATTTGATAATAAGAATATTTGATGCGTATGGGTATATCTGTGAAAAGTTAAGCTTGTAATTTAAGTCATATTGATCATATTCCTAGGCCCCAAATATAACTGTACTAATTCATTTTAAAAAAATACTAAATATTAAAAAAAAATACTAAATATTTTAAATTTATTATGATTAGGATTGGATATAGTGCGTGAATTTTTCCGTGCCTAATAAATCAAAATTACCACGGCAATATCATATTTGATAATGTTTAACTTAATAATAAGTTTTAATAAGACTTAAATAGTATTTACGGTTTGTTTTTTGTCTTTTTTTTCTAATAGTATCAAGCTTTTCTACAATAATATATCTTATACACGGGATGCAATTAATTTTCATATTACTTTAATTTCCAGAGTCTAACGGACTTATTTAAAAATGTACAAAAACCTCAAATTTAATGATTATGTTTATTTAATCTCAAAGTAACACAACACTGAACTCTTTTTACTTGTAGCTTATTTTAACGAACAAATAGATAATTTATACTAGATTTATGGCTAACTTGAACAAGAGAAAATTTCTCACGGATCTTCTAAGCCCACCTAGCAAAGGGCAGTTCGTGTACTCCAATCACGTATTCCCATTCGATCTTGCCCCGGGCCATTCTGACGTATTACTTTATATGTCAACTTAATGCTTTTGCGGTACTTCTAATGAGCCACGTTATTGCAAGCTAACTTTTGCGAGAACTGAGTATGGGTGCACCAAACCGATAAATTATCATAATATTCTCAAAGACCGCACGACTCCTATGATTACGGTGTGTATCAAAAATAATTTAATATTCTAAAGATTATTAAATAAGCTAAAGGATAATAAATACTAAAATACGTATTAAAATCGATCTAACTATCCACTATAAACTGCTGCATCTTACCCTCTCTTTTTACTTAATTGATTGTCTACGACATTTCGGTTTAATACATGAGAAAAGAACTAATACTAATATTGGTTTGAATCGCATTGGTGGTCTGTTTTCGGATGCCTTTTATAAATAGTTTCATTGCGTTTTATTATTTGTGTCAAATAAGGCCTTAACTATATATTTTTTTATATTATAAATATAGTCACCTAATTGAAAGAACTATTAGTTAAAGCACCTTTAAATACAATTTTAATTTTGATCGAGTACCCATTTTTTACAAGAACTGTCAAATAATCTATCATTAGTTTTAACCTCCTGAGTTCTAACCTCATCTGTCATTTATAAAAACATACAGATATATTTTATAGATACAATAAAAACAGTATTGAACGGGACACGAGCACTATTCCCATTTTTTTAATATAAAAATACGAAATTCTGTCTCTAATGCGAACTTTTACTACTATGCCAGCCTCAGTCTAGAACTCATATAATCAAAGTATATATGTAATATTCGTTACATCATTTCTGTAAATACAAAAAGAAAATTGTGAAATAAATCTAGGTCAATAGGAAATGAAATATAGCTCTACATCAATACATTTCAAACCAGCAGCGAGTACCTTAGAAAGTTGACTATAAACGTTAAATATGTTTGCTGTGCCTAATGTCCCGGAACTAGTAACATATCAAACATATTTAAAGAATTTTATTTACAAAGATGACAGGGGCTTTTTATTATATTTATTTACCCAGAAACACAAATAGCGGAAAAAATTAAAAAGTGCGCGCGTACAAAATACACATGTCAGAAGCGAAACTACTTTGTAAATTAATTATTGAGTAATTAAGCTGCCCAAAGCACATAATTTAATTTTGCCAGTCTTTCTATATTAATGAACGATACTAAGGCTAATTAAAAACCAGAACTAAAATTAGGTATTGTTAATGTTACGTATATAGAAATACCACGTAAATATGGTAACAATTACCAAATAATATAACAAATTCATTAGTATCATAATTGCTAACTTATGACCACATTTTCTAAAATATCTACCTGGGTCTGAGCAAAAAATGTCTTGGTTCTGTGCCCTTATAAAAATACAAAACGACCAAAAAACATGGTAATGTGTATATGATATGTATTGAACACCATCGGTGTTTAAATATTGCACCTCAATATTATACTAGCACATCTTTATTAAAGAAAAAAAAATCGACAAAAGCGCTGCGCATCTTCGACGTTCCGTAAAAAGTTTCACTTCAAAAAGGAAAATTGACATCGCTGTACCAAATTACTCTTTCTCTTATGAAATGCAAACTGTCTTATAATATTGTAAGAATCTAGACAATAAAGTAAATAACTTATGAATATTTTTATCATAACAATACCCGGCTCAATTAAACTGAACATTCAACACAAAGCATAACGAACGGATTAATTGTATATCAACAATTCAACAATCGAATAAAAATACTATGGAAAGACAAACAATTCCCAATAAAAGTTTCAGTAATAGACTAAATAAAGCATAGACAGTAGAGCGACCACAGATTATACACACAGACCACATAGGTTATTGTGAGGCAAGTTTGCAATTTACCCAAGTTCAATTTGTTACCCCGCCTCTGCGGCCCCTTTGATAACCTGTTTGATTTGAAAGTAATTTGTTTTAATCACACTGATCCATATCGAACGTCCGAATTTTCGATTGAACGAGCATCGAAATTCTAGAATGGAACCTATTCGAAAGGAAAGAATAATTTGACTCGTGCATAACTTTTGAATAATGGCAATAAAGTCCACAATTTGTACTCAACCTCGCACCGTCAATATTGTGAATTTTTACGGTGCGAGATTTAAATATATTTATGGTGACATGGGTATTAGTCTGTGGTATAATGCCTTCGGTGTCAACTGTCACCTGATGCGATGCATATCTGACCACGGGTGGTCCCGTCATATCGCGAACGCTAACGAATTGTAAATATCTTCTGTATACTTTTATTTGCTTTATCAATCTTCCATCGAAGCTACTATAGTTGTTTACTGATTATTGACAACTTTGATGTTTATGCATAGGCTATAAGGGTTGTTATAATATGCTTGGGTTATATTAAAAATATTAAGGCACAAAATTGTAACTTGATATAACACACAAAACTTTTTTATCGATTGATATTACGAATTACGATATGCGTTTTTCCATAGATGTTGAACTCCTTTTGATCAAGTAGTTATCAAAAAAATCAATTTTTTGTCACTTCTAAGGCCTCCCTCACTTCTAAATTAGTAGTGGTTTTCGAATGATTCTATGCATGCTTATTAAAAGAAAATGACCACAGATTTGA